GATGAGCTAAGTTTTGCTCTGTGACCCAAAAGACAAAGTAAGATTTTAAAGCTACAAATAACTGTGTCACTGTGATAATCAAACAGCTCTAGTATAGCTACTGGAAACAGTCGAGGTGGCCGCCCCAAATTGCCCACCAATCAAATTTTAATTTTTGACAAAGAGTGTAACCTCCCCTAGTCGTGTCAGTAATTTAGTCTCAAAATTAGAGAAGGGGGATCAGGACACGAATACAATGGGGGAAATGACATGCTCTTTATTGTTTTTGTAAATGTAGGATACGATTCATTTGATTGTTTCAAAATCATCCGTTATATAGAACTATGTAAATGTGAGGATAGTCGCATTTGAATAAGCAAAATTAAACCACCAGAGGGGACTAAGGGATGTGGGAAAGTTCCTGGGTGTGTGGAAAGTGGGAGGACTCCTGTGGATTGGAGGGGGTGCAGAGCAAGAGAGAGGAAGCTTCGTTCTTCGCCACTTTCTGCCCTTGGGGTAAGGATTGCGTTTCGCTACCCTCAATGCAAAAGATAAAATTCGTTGACTTTTCGGAGCCCTCAGCTTCTGTGGCTGCTTCCAGTTAAGGTGGGCGTTTGTCCTGTGAAGGGTCAACCCCCCACCCCGACCAACCCTCCCCCAGCTCCTGAGCACCTGGGCACCTGTGGAAAACGCTGGGAACTCAAAGCGCCCCCCACCACCCCAGTCTGTGGCACACAGTAGGACACTCGGGCCCTCCTTCTGTTCAGAGGTATCACATGGAAAAACTTGATTTTCTGACTCTTTATGTGCAATGAGCATTCTCCATGCTTCTTTTAGAAGCCTCTCTCTCTCTCTCTCTCTCTCTCTCTCTCTCTCTCTCTCTCTCTCTCTCTCTCTCTCTCTCTCTCCTCTCTCTCTCTCTCTCTCTCTCTCTCTCTCCTCTCTCTCTCTTTAATTAAAGGAACACCCAAGGCCAGTGTGCCCCACCCACCCCTTCCCTGAGGGCCTGGCTTAGGAAAACGGGACTGGCTGGGACTGAGCAGGTCTTCCAGCTAGCTCAGCTGATGGGTATGAATAAAGTAGTAGCTAACGTTCAGGGCAAGTATTGCAACAGGACGGTGGGGATCGAGGTGCAGCGGGGGGTGGGGATAGGGTGGGGAAGGGCTCGGACGGAGGAGGTACGGGAGAGGAACAGTGGATGCTCCTGGAGGGATGGAGGTGACATTTTTCTCCAGGGACGGTGGGACTCTTGACTTTTCCTTCCAAGGCTGTGGATTGCCCGGAGAGGCAAGCGTTCCTTCCCAACACTTCTCATTTGAATACATGAAAATGTGAGTTGATCTTGGCAAGGTGAAGCTCTCTCACGGCCAGAGTGACGGTTTTGTCGCCCGCGGGCGAGGCCAGGTGGGGAGCAGCTCCGGCTCAGACATCCGGCTGCGGACGAGCCTGGATCCCGGACTCCCGGGACTTTCTGAAACCTGGCGGCAACTCAAGGAGCAAGACAACGGACAAACTCAATGCCTGTTTTTGTTTTTAGCAAAATAAGCGAAAGCCCTGAATATGCATACGTGTAGCGCAAAGGCACACCTGGACAGGTGTGCAGTCCAGAGCAGTAGAGGATCTGGTGTGGAACTGGCCAGACAAGGCCTGTCAGGTGGCCCCAGGACTCCCACCTACTGGAGATTGGAGGTCATGCTTGCAACTGACTCCTTAATGAGGATTTAATGGCGGAAGAAAAAGTAAAAGGAACATGTGAGGGCCGAAAGAAAGGGAAAAGAGAAGCAGGGATAGAACAGGACCCCGAATTTGCTTGCCCTGAGCGTCAGGCTGGTTTGGGTAGTAGTGACCCCCACCCCTGGCCGGGGTCGCCGGGCCACGAGTGACTAGGGCTAGCTGCTGAAGGCACCCAGGCGACCTCCCCAGCCTTGCAGCACCTCGAACCCTCAGGGCAACGCACAAGCAAGCACAAGGGGGATGCTTCTAGCGTAGCCCCGCTGGGTGCAGCCCTAAGCTGGTCCCAGTCGGAGTCGGCTTTGAACCCAGTTAAAGACCACAGGTCTTAGTTGCTTCGCGTCTAATTCCCCCTCCTCGGCAGGAGGAGGACTTAAGCTTCTTATCTGGTGGGGGAGTGGGGCCTGCGGAGGAACTCGGACCACCCGGCACCGAGCGTGGCTGGGGCCACCGCGCGGCCTTGACCTGGCGACAGTCCTGAGATGGGAGGTAGGGTCAGTAGGGAAAGGGGGGTAGACTAGGGAGATCCAGAGGGAGAGCCCTCAAGGGACTCCAGCGGGAGCAGCACCGACGAGGTTCCGGCTCAAAGTCCGCCCACCACTCCGCTCAGCCACACAGCAAAGGTCAGGAGCATCAAAGGCACCAGCTGGTCCCAAGACAGGGTCCTATGCCCTTTTTTCCTCCTTTCATCCCATATCCTCTGCGTCCTTCTGTGCCGTGAGCAGCTGCCAGGTCAATCTGGGAAGGGTGGGCTAAAGCAGACAACTTGGTCAGGGGACCTTGTGCAGTCGACCTGGCGTTGAGCAGGCCCCAAGAGCTTAGTAGGGTCAGCTTCCGGGAATGACAGAGCCGCTTCCTCTTTTCAAACAGATTCCAGTAACAACATATAGCCCACCATCCTGGCCGCCCTGGCGTTACCGCTTTAAGCTACCTGGGGCGCCCTACACTGTGGCCTAAGGTCCTCACCCTGGCAAGTTCCAGCCTGGGGCATGGCAGAAGAGTCCCCGTGGCTCACTTCTTGTGAGTTCTCTCAGTTCCCTGGAGCTGAAGGCAGGTTTACTTGCCGGGTTTTGATAAGGCATAAAGGCTTATTTGTGGAAAGATGTTAGAAATGAACAAGGTTAAGGGGGCTGGGAGTCCTTATCTGGGTGCCAACTCGTCAGCAACCTAAGAGAAGACAACAATCAGGTCCCCCCACTCTCTCTCTCTCTCCCTCCCCCCTCCCTCCACCGTGAGTGCCTGTGTGTGTGTGTGTGTGTGTGTGTGTGTGTGTGTGTGTGTGTGTGTGTATGTGTGGTGTTTTCCAAGTCTTTGACTTGTAAAGAAGTAACCCTACTGTTTCACTTTTAAATCTGAGCGAAACCGGCCTATTGGTACACTAAAACTTCATCAGCTGAATTTGTTAGGCGTCCAGAAAGGCCATCACTAAATGCAGAGACGTAATCCCAACTACTGCTTTTCCTTCTACGTGGCTTCAGACAGTCGACTCAGAATCACACTCCTGGCTGCCTGACGCCTTCTCTAGTTCAATCCAGTCTAGCCTGGCGGTGTTCCGAGAACGTACACACAGGAGGCGCTGTTTGCAGTAACTGGGTCACAGACCCTAGAACACGGGGATCAAGGCTTTAAACCCAGCAGAATTCCACTCTGTACCACCACTCTTGGATTTTTGAAGGTGCTTGCGAAAAATTTCACTGTGGTTTCACTCTAGGAAAGGCCCCCTTCTCCTTTTAATTAGACTTGAAAAGGGGGCCTCGTGGATTTGCAAAACAGACCAAAAGAACATGTGATATTTTAATCAACCCCCTTTCACGTGACAGGGTACCACCACCACCCCCCGCCCCCCCCCCCCCCCCCCAGGCATCAGCTTTTTATGCACTGTATGAAGCCTTTACTAAGTTGTTACTAGCCACGGGAAATGTAAGTCATGCTAGGTGTTGTAGAAGGGCCAAGAAGGCATCAGAGAACCAGTCACCGAGGAACAAGGAAGCTCCTGGCCCTGGAAGTCCCCAGGACCAGACTGAGGAAGCCCAGCATCCGTGTGCTTTACAAACCGAGGTCTTGCTGATGGTGGGAACTTTCCACAAAAGAATTACTTTCTGACACACATCCATAGGTACATTTACACAACTGTGGGGGTGACTTTGCAGTCACAGGGGCAGGGTACACTAGGAAAGGGTTGCCTGCTCTGCTGAGTTCTAGGTAGATTCAATTCCACTCTCATGCCTTTGCTTATAACGTGATGTCTACACACACACACACACACACACACACACACACACACACACACTTTTTGTTCAAAAAGGAATTGTAATCCAATGCTTTTATCTTTTTTATTTCCTTAACTACACATCTTCACCTTCCCTGCTCCCCTGCTGATTTAAAAGATTTGTTTGGTTCAAGGATTTAACGTGATTCTCTTGCCAGATTTCAAGGAAGAAAGATTTAAAAGAACAAAGCACGGGGTGGTGGGGGGTGGGTATCTATTTGGAAGACAAGTAAAAACGCATTCCTTCAAATGAGATTAATTACCTTAAAAAAAAAACTTGGCAAAACAAGAATATTTTAGTCTCTTGATCACTTTAGAGTTTATTTTATTGCTTCTAAAGGAAATCTAGTAAATCTACAGCCTGGTGCAACACACGGAGGACCACACAGTCACATTCCCTTAGAAACTCACTCGGTAGACATACACGTTCACAAACACATTCAGTCCGTCGCTCAGAAGTAGGCAGCTTCTCCGAACCTATCACAAACTGTCGACCCAATCGAATCTCTTTGATTAGTCTCTTCCCGCAGGACAAGAGGACAAGCCACTACCTGGGAAGAACTGGTAGGAGGCAAAAAGACTTTGAGTGGGGGAGAATTTTCCACAGTCGTCCAGGACCTTTTGAAAGCCTGATATCCTCGCCCCTCTCCTCCAGGTTAGAGACCGGGCACTACTGTGGGCTGACTCTAGCTTCAGGCTGGCACCTCCTTTAGCGTGGCAGATGCGTTCCGGCACCCCAAGCCCTTACGCTCCCAGTTTATGCCGGTGTTTAGGGAGATGTCCCCTCCCCCTGACCTTTCTCTATCAGAAACCAGACGGTCGCCTCCAGCTCGGTCCCGGAGGCTGAAGAAGGGGGGTTGGAGGAGGAGCCGGGCCGAGAGAGGCAGGCCCTATCACACAAACATCTGCTCTCAGTTTCTTCCTCTTTCTGATCGCTGCAGATGACAAGGGGGAGTGGAGTGGACTGAGGCGGAAAAAAAAAAGTTATGTCATAAAAATATAAAACGGTGCTGTGACTCACCTGCCCTTAGCCGCAGGTACGAGTTTCGTGGCAGCGCCTCCGTTCTGCTAGCCAGGAGCCCGGGTCGGCCTAACGTCACCTGCTCGGCTGACTCAGATGACTGGGTTTCTAGTGACGAGGCAAAAGTGGGGCTTTTCCCCTTTACAAGCCCAAAGCCTGGGAAGTGGGAGGTGGGGGGGGGGTGTCTCTCAGGGTTGAACTTTGGGTCAAGAATCGGGGTGGGGGAGCCAAGGAGCCCAGGGACCAAGAACCGAGTCGCAGTCAGGTCCAGAGGGTTGGTTAGTGAGCGAGCGCCTCTGGGAGGGAACTCGGGGTCATTCAGCGAGCATGGTCCCTGCGCTGGGGATCTGACGCCAGCACCCGGGTCCTTCTCCCGCAGCACTAGAGCCCTGGCCTGTCCTCCAGGCACCGCCTAGTTTTCTTTCTTTTTTTTTTTTTCCTTTTCCAAAAGGGGGTCACACACACACACACACACACACACAGACCCAACCCGCCCCCATTTTTCCTCTTTCCCTAGCCTCGGGGCTTAAACCAATTACACTGCTTTGTAAACAAAGTGAGGGCCAGGTTTGGGGGGGGTGGGGGGTGGGGGGTGGGGAGTGGGGGGGGGAGGGGGCTGGCGGGAGGGGCGCGGAGGGGGGGGGGCGTGCGGCGCTGGCGCGGCGGGGCGGGAGGCGCGGCGGCCGGACTGGCGGGCGGCCGCCTCGCAGGTGCACCTCGGGCTTTGTAGGTGCGAGCGTCTTTGTGCGGCGGACAAATGGGGAGAGGACGAGGAGGTGGGCACTCGAGCGACGTAAGATCCACATCAGCTCAACTGCACTCGCTGCGCACCGGCCGCCCGCTCACTTCCCGCGGAGGCGCTGCCGGGCGCCGCGCTGCGCGGCCGCCTCCCGTCCCCGGCGCTGCCCCCTCCCGCCGCGCCGCCGCCGCCGCCGCCGCCGCCGCCGCCGCGCACGCCGCGCCCCGCAGCGCCTGGCTTCCTCCTGGCTGGGGTGGCGCTGGGCCCTCGAGCGCACCGGTGACCGCAGCGGCCCCGCGCCCCTCCCCCGCCGCGCGCAGCGCACCCGCCCGTCGCTCGGCACTGGGTTGGATGGTCGCGTCGGTCGGGGTGGCTCCAGGATGTTAGGGACTGTGAAGATGGAAGGGCATGAGAGCAGCGACTGGAACAGCTACTACGCGGACACGCAGGAGGTGAGAGGCGGCGAGGCGGCGGGGCGTTCCCCAGAGTCGGGGTCCGGGGAGACCCCGGCGAGGTGGGCTCCCTGCGGGGACTAGGGCGAGCGGGCTGGGGGCGGCTCGACCAAGGCGCGGCTCCCAGTGTGGCCCCCACTGCCTCGGCTTCCCTGCCAGCCCGCTGCCCGCTGGGTGCCGGCGCTTGAAGCGAGCAGAGAGTCTTAGGAAACTCTGGGCTTTGAAAGCACCCGCTCCGGGAAGCACTTGCCTTTGCCCCGCGGAGAGCGGGAGCCGGAGCCCGGCCCCGGGAAGCCGCGGGGGTGGCCGGCGGGCTCCGGCCGGAGTTAAAAGCAACTCTGAGAGTTGGTGGTCGCTTCCTGGCCAGCCTCTCGGTCCCGCCGCTTAATTCGCCGACGTCTTTGGATTAAAAATGATCTGCCGCGGAAGTTGGGCTCCTTCATGAGGAATGATTTCTAAATTTTATAAAACTTATTCTTCAAAAGCCCCGTTTGTAGAAAAGTGTGACCGTTCCTCTCTAGAGCCGCTGGGTGGCGCTAGTGCGAACCGAATCATTTTCCAGAACTGAGGGCCAAGAACCTGTTTCTCTTCATTGTCCCCTTAGAGGCAAGTTCACGGGGTTTATTTTACATTGTGCACAAAAGCATTGCAAGGAAAATCAGGTACAGGCAGGGCCACTGCCTATTAAAAGTACTTTTCTAGAAACAGTTGCCGATTACCTTCAAACGTTGACTTACTGTTATCGAAAACGCTTACTGAGAAAGCCTCGTGCGATCTTGGGGAGAGAGCTAGAAAATAAACCCCAAAGTAAAAAGTACTTTTAAGATCTGAATCTGAAAACCCCTTCATGGCAATGTGTTTATTCGTCTCTGTGCTTATTTGGGAACCATACCTTGTGGGGTCTTCATATTTAAGTCTATCCATCTCTTAGGATTTCAGAGGGAGTGACATTTGCTGATGAACACAAATTTAAGAACATCAATACTATGTGTTAGATTACCAGATACGCAGTTATATGTCAGGGCTCTGTATTTCCTAACCACCTAGCTCTTCTCTGGATTGCTAATGACGAAGATGCCATTTGCTGATGATTTTAATAGGGGCTCCGGCCACTTTCAGGGGTTTAATTTTGACGCAGTCACCTCGGCCCACCAGAGAAGACCCCTACGGAAAGAGCTTTCTCACATCTCAAAGCTGGGAGTTAGAAAGCAGAATAGCACTGAGAGAAAGTAAGTCGAGTTTGACTTGGGAATTTAAAATTATCCCAAACTACTCATGTAGTTTCAAAGGCAGGGCTTTGATATGAGCGGCGGCAAGTATCAGTTATAGGGTGTGTGTGTGTATGTGTAAATTGTGCTACCAAATATTTCAGTTGTTAGAGGACTGCAAATAGGTAACAAAATTAATGCAATGGTTTTTTTAAGTAGCTCCCAGAGCTGTACAGGCAGCCACGTTAAAGTTAAATATAGGTACCGCGTTGTCCTGCTGTACACCTTATTTTTAATTTTATTTTTCCAGAATTTTATTTTTAACTTGTGAGTTTTCTTCTTTTAAAATATTAACATTGTTACAAGAGGTGGAAAGCAATACTTCTAAACATAATAACATAATATCTAGCTTTTGGCACCAGCTCCTAAGACAAAGCCAGTTCCTGGGAGATGAGTAATTGGGATAGGGGATCCTATGGGAATATAGGCGCTTTACTCTATGGGTGAGGGTTTAACAGCAGCCAGCCCAATGCCTACTGCTGTGCGGCCAGAGGTGCCTGCCAGACCTCGGCAGTGTGGGTGCCTAGCTGGTGGTGCCCCGTTTGATCATCCAGCAGGCCCGTGTGGAACCTACATCACGGTGGGTGGTGAAGTGAAGAAGCTCGGGCATAAATTCTATTTTCTATTTTCGGAGTTTCAAAACTGGTTTGGCCCAAAGGCCGTGTGTCTAGGCTGGTCTGGGAGGTGAATACTTTGGGTACAGCCTACCGTGGATGAAATCGAAGGGGGACCTTAGAAGCCAGCCCCTGATCCAGGCATGTAAAGCGATTACACATCTTCCCGGGGACATATTTTCTGTGAGCACTAATCTTTCCTGCCTGCAGCGCTAGGATTTCCCCCCCTGCGGTGTAAGCCATCTTTGCGTGGGGAGGGACGGGCGCCGAACAGTTTGCCCTGGCTAGGGAGTTCCCGGGCTTTGCAAAAAAAAAGAAAAAAAAAATGCTGTTCACTCGCCCCCGGGGCTCGCCCCAAGGCCAGCCAAAACTCCAGGGCACACGACTAACCCCGCCCTTCGGGGCCTCTTCCCTGGCTGTCTCCGCTCCAGGCCTACTCCTCTGTCCCGGTCAGCAACATGAACTCCGGCCTGGGCTCCATGAACTCCATGAACACTTACATGACCATGAACACCATGACCACGAGCGGCAACATGACACCGGCGTCCTTCAACATGTCCTACGCCAACCCGGGCCTCGGGGCCGGCCTGAGTCCCGGTGCTGTGGCCGGCATGCCCGGGGGCTCTGCGGGAGCCATGAACAGCATGACGGCAGGCGTCACGGCCATGGGCGCAGCGCTGAGCCCCGGCGGCATGGGCTCCATGGGCGCGCAGCCCGCCGCCTCTATGAACGGCCTGGGCCCCTACGCGGCCGCCATGAACCCGTGCATGAGCCCCATGGCGTACGCGCCGTCCAACCTGGGCCGCAGCCGCGCTGGGGGCGGCGGCGACGCCAAGACGTTCAAGCGCAGCTACCCGCACGCCAAGCCGCCCTACTCCTACATCTCGCTCATCACCATGGCCATCCAGCAGGCGCCCAGCAAGATGCTCACGCTGAGCGAGATCTACCAGTGGATCATGGACCTCTTCCCCTACTACCGTCAAAACCAGCAGCGCTGGCAGAACTCCATCCGCCACTCGCTGTCTTTCAACGACTGTTTCGTCAAGGTGGCCCGGTCCCCGGACAAGCCGGGCAAGGGCTCCTACTGGACGCTGCACCCGGACTCCGGCAACATGTTCGAGAACGGCTGCTACCTGCGCCGTCAGAAGCGCTTCAAGTGTGAGAAGCAGCCCGGGGCCGGAGGCGGGAGCGGGGGCGGCGGCTCCAAGGGTGGCCCCGAAAGCCGCAAGGACCCCTCCGGCGGCGCAGGGAACCCCGCCGAGTCGCCCCTTCACCGGGGTGTGCACGGGAAGGCTAGCCAGCTAGAGGGCGCGCCGGCCCCCGGGCCCGCCGCCAGCCCCCAGACTCTGGACCACAGCGGGGCCACGGCGACAGGGGGCGCTTCGGAGTTGAAGTCTCCAGCCTCTTCCTCGGCGCCCCCCATAAGCTCCGGGCCGGGGGCGCTGGCATCGGTACCCCCCCTCTCACCCGGCGCACGGCCTGGCACCCCACGAATCGCAGCTGCACCTGAAAGGGGACCCCCACTACTCTTTTAACCACCCGTTCTCCATCAACAACCTCATGTCCTCCTCCGAGCAACAGCATAAGCTGGACTTCAAGGCCTACGAGCAGGCACTGCAGTACTCTACCTACGGCGCCGCCTTGCCCGCCAGCCTGCCCCTGGGCAGCGCCTCGGTGGCCACGAGGAGCCCCATCGAGCCCTCAGCCCTGGAGCCGGCCTACTACCAAGGTGTGTATTCCAGACCCGTGCTAAATACTTCCTAGCTCCCAGGACTTGGGGGTTTGTCTGCATGGCCGACCTGGTGGTAGCAGGAGAGGAAAAAAAAACCAACAGCAAACAAAACCACACACGCCAAACCAACCACATAATAAAATCCCAACTATTTTTTATTTTTCGTGCACACTTCTCCCCAGTGCAAAGGACTGTTACTTTATTATTGTATTCAACACTCGTTGTGTGTATTATTACAAAAACAACCGACTCCATATCAACCAATCTTTTTTTTTCCCCTGCGGAAGTTTAATGATCCATAAATGTATATATAGAAAATCTTCCTCCTTCCTTGCCGTCTCGCCCTTTCGCTCTTTCCCCTGTGGACACATTCTAGTCTGTGCAGGGCTTATTTAAAAAAAAAGAAAATGGTCAAGTTTGTAAACTATTTGTTCGTGCTTTTGTTTTGTTTTGTTTTGTTGTTGCTGCCCCTCCTTACCTAAGCCCACCACACGAGTTTACAGGTCTGTGGCAACGCTCTTAACTCAGTAAATATGGAAATGGAAAAGAAATAAACAGAGAGCAGGGACTCTTGAGAATGCTGGAAGACAGTACTGCCATTATGCAGTGAGGTATAAGCAGGTTCCACACATCAGAGCCATCTGTGTTCAGCTTACATTTCTGAGGCACTCAGATAATGGACGTCTTTAAATGAAATACATATATATTGTCTGTGGACTTAATCATGTTCACATATGAAGACCTCCGTCCACTTTTGCATAACATGTAGAGGTAATAGGTAGGTGATAGACACACTACATTTTCAAACATTGCCTGACCGAGTTACAACGATCCCCTTCACACTTGTCCTCTCTACCCACTTATGACCCTGAGAACCAATCCCCCCCCTAACTCTGCTCCTTGCTCTGCGGAGTGCCATGGTCATGTCATTCTGAGGTCACATGTATAAAATTAGCTTTTGTGTATGTATAACATTTAAAGGATTTTTTTCCCAGGGGAAAAAAAGGAAGTATATTATTGAGGAGAGAGAAGTTATAAGAAATGCATTTCAAAATTTTGTCCGACGTTCCCAAATCCCAATTGTGGCCATTTCAGTTGTTGCATCCAGTGTTAATGCACTTTCATAGTTGGACGTAGTGTCAGTTTTAGACAAACGGGTTCATTATCATTCCTCTTTGCTTTCTCAATGTTAATTTATTGCATGGTTTATTCTTTTTCTTTACAGCTGAAATTGCTTTAATTGATGGTTAAAATGACAATTTTAAAAATGTTAATTTTTATCCATGTGATTGTAACTAAGATATTTTGATTTAAATAACAAGAATAATATGAGATTTTAATCTGTGGAATATGTTCCCAATCATTTGCAGTTAAGGAATTTAAATAAATCAAATGTTAACAACAAAGAACTTCTGTCATTTTTCCTTCATTTAAAATCCAAAATAGATCTTTAATTAAAATCCAAAATAGATCTTCGGAATAGGGCATTTTTCAGATTCTGGAATTTAATATAAAAGACAAACAGGGGTATAATCTAAAATAAAATGGTTTCATATACAGCTTAAATGAATGTATAACTAGTAAACTGTAGTGAAAGAAATTCAATTAAAGTAGGTAGATAACCTGACACTATTCCAAGAACTGAGGTTTTAAAAATTCTTTATTCCCAGTAATGTTTACTTCAGTTTTTTGTGTGGGGGTGGGGCATGGGATTTTTAAGCCTCCTGAGTCTCTTTTTAAGTTTTTTCCTCGTTTGAAATTAAATTATTAATCCCCTATTTTTTCTAACTCGAGAAGTATCTGAATGAGAAAAAAAATAGCAGTGGTGGCTGCTAAAATTAAGTTATCTATCACAGGCTCTGAACCCTCCTATGAAAAGAGAAACAAAACTCATCGTGGTCGGTTTGGAGAGTGGGGAGGAGAGCAGTTAATTCATTCCTGCGGGGGCGGGGGGGGGAGCTTTGTGAGTATTTCAGGGTAGCTGCTGTTTTGTGTTTTGTGAAGATATTTTTAAAATATTGTTTCTAAGAACTTAAACCTGATGGTTTGTTTGCCTTGTAAGAAGCTTTGAAATGCAACTTCACACCCCGTAGTTGCTTGAGATCACAAAATCATTAATCTCCTTTGATAGTAGGCTCACTTTCCAGTCCACCTATTTCTTTGTAAGACGTGTTCGGATTGACACCGACAATAAACAGCACCAGCCCAAGCCGAGGCTGGCCCGCCTGAGCTCTTGTGTGTGAACTGCATCCTCACCAGGGCTTGAACTTGGACAGCCTTTGCTTTGATCGCGGCCCTCCACAGTACAGACAAGATAAAAAGAGCCGTGCCAGTCGCTCAATTATCGCGTAATTACCTCCCCAGATGAGAGAAGGGGTGCCACGTAGCACTTGAGAAAAATCCAGAAATCCCTGCTCTGCTCTCTGCTAGTGATGAAAGGAGGAGGGAAGAGAAATTGCTGGCGTGAGTAATTTCAAAACTGAATTCGAAGTCCTCTAAAGGACCATCAAGCATACCCCCAAAGACGAAAAAAGAAAGCTCAACAGTTACACACATGATAACGGGTAAACAAATGCGGGCACATCCAAACTCTTATGCAAAATTAATGCGTGATCTTGGGCCTGGGCCTTTCTCATGCTGCCCCGAAACGAAGTCTGACTTTTGTGCAGTCCCTTCCTCCCCCAGGTTTGTGTCGGCCTCCGTTCTGGCTTCTTGACTCTCCGCAGGGTTTTCTGGGTTTGCAGGGACGGGGTTGTCTGTGGTCCAGGCCGCTCGAGTGACGGGGGATGCGGGATGAGGGGATGGAGAGCAGCGACTCGGGCTAGGCTCATAGGTTCCTGCGGGCCGTGCTCCTGTCTCTCGTGGGCTGCTCACCCGGTTCTGCGTCTACGCTCTCCGCCACCTCGGGACCACGCGCGCCTCTGGACACAGGCGGGCTGGGGGCCCCGGGACAGATGGTTGCTGGGGACGAGGGGGCAGAGCGGACCTCGCAAGCATCCCGAGGTGACAAATGCAGTTAGTTCTTCATTGTTTGGGCATTTTCCCCTCCTACGAATAAATCTTCTCTTGAGCCACAGACCTAAAAGTCAACAAAGGAGGCCGGGCGCCGGGTCTCTAGCCCACCCCGCGGCCAGCGTGGCCGAGCCGCTCCCGCTGCGTAATCCCTTCCTCGGAAACCCGAACACACAAACGCCGGCCCGCCGACCCGGGTGCCGCGCCCGGGCCAGGAAGAAAACATCTGTGCTTCCAGGGGCGCGCGGGGACCCTCCCGAGACCGTCGCCTGCAAGCGACCTCGGCATCCTCCGCCTCCGTCCGGCTTTGGTCCCCGGGCCCCTGATTTCTCCACCGACGCTCCGGTGGTCAGAAAGGGGACGCACAGGGTGCAGTCCACTCCCGGAGCCCCGATTTTTAGGAATTTTGCTCGGTGTGGGGGGAGGGGCCGGAAGCCCGGGTAGCAAAGAAGGAAAAAGCTTCCAACTGACCCAAGTAGAAAGCTCCAGGGGCCCTCTGATCCCTCCACCACGCCGCGGAGCAAACAGTAACGCAGAAAAGCGTTTGGGGAGAGAGAGTGCACAGCGTCAGTGATTACTTTTCACCTCGTGTTTGGAAGCTCAACTCTGAAACCTTTTCTAAACGCGACTGGAAAAAAAATAAAACAAAAAGAGCCCAAGATAGATAAGGAAGTTCTGTCTATTCAGAGAAACCGAACAACTCTGAAGCGTTCCCAAGCTGACGGCCGGCCGTTCAACCCGATTTCTGGGAGATCGGCTGGGACCACCTTAAATCTCAAAAGACAAAATTCAGTTTCTATTGTCCCTTCGTGGCTCTCTGCACAGCAGAGTAGACCAAAGGGGAATAATATGCGATGAAAATGAGCCTATGCTGGTGAAGTTCTTAACTTAGGTTCTCTTTTTTCAGAAGGTGGATTTCACTGAAACTGTTAAACATTTTTCCTTGAGTTTAACCGTTTTGAACGAGCCACTACAGAAGAGAATGCCAAGAATGACAAAATTATAAAATTCTGTTGTTTTGTCATTTAAAATATTGATCTTAGTTCCATGAAAATGCTTATTAAGTTTCTTTAAAAAAAAAAAACCTGCCGTGATCAATAGAAATTCTTTTCCTTGCAGACGAAAGTAGGAGACCTGTAGCCCAAATTAATTAACCTTTCCTCAAGATCAATTGGTTTTCTGTTGATTTAGCAGTAATATCATAGAACATTTAGCTATAATGTATTTTAATGTGACACTTCAATATGTCAAGAAGAAAAAACCTCATTAAAAAATAAAATTGCTTGAATTGTGTAGTATGTATTTAATAAAGTTTTTTTAAATTGTCTTTAAAATTAACTGCCTGTATTGTGGCTGTGTTTCGCAACTAAACGCAACTAAGAGAATGCCCTCTCCATTCGAGATAATTGGGTGCAAAAAGAGATTATTATAAGCCATCCTGACCTAAATAGGTAATCAAATTATGCTGAAATTTAGGTATAAAAATTACCCAAATTGAAAGAGTAATTAAACCTCAAAAGAGTCTCCTGAGACTAAGAATGGCAGGGCGAAGTAGCACAACATCCCTATAATCGATCTGCTGCAGAGAGAGGAGGTTTTTTAAAAGTAGCCACGTTAGCAAGTTTTATTTCTACCTACGGTTACTATTTCGTGTGTCTAAACACATTTAACAACGGATTTCTTTAAAGCGTTGCCTTCCAAATTGTTAAGTTTGGGACGTAATGGGTTCCATTGGCGATTCTCTCTCTCTCTCTCTCTCTCTCTCTCTCTCTCTCTCTCTCTCTCTCTCTCTCTCTCTCTCTCTCTCCCAGGCCAGCTCCATTCACTAAACTTTGCACAGCTGGGGTTGCAAGCCCTCACCCCCGCCCCCTATTCTCTGGCCTCTTTTAGGAAGCCTTCTGGGACCGGAGAATACCTAAGAAGTTCAGTCGTCACCTGTAAAACACTTAAAAACCTGTCCGGGAGGGGATGGGGGGGCGGAGTTCGTTCCTACTGCCTTTCTTCCTCACATCTCCAAACACGAAGGCCGCGATTCTTACACACCATCTCAAGAGTGTGTAACGCTCACTTTCCCTCTGCACCCCCCCCCCCCCCCCAGAGCCAAGGCTCTCAGATGCCACCTCAGGACACTTTGGAGTTCGCTAAAACTCTAAGTCAGCTTGGAATCCAGAAACAGAATGCCGACACTGTCCCTTAAAATCCGGGAAGTTTGAAAGGGCTGTGTGTGCTCTGGACTTTAGAACCCAGGTGAGATGCTAGGTCTGTTGAAAGCCGGCTCAGAACCCGGCCGGGGACACCCCGGGGAAACCTGATTCAAAGTTCTGCTGGTGAGGTAGCCTTCTGCTTTCCCAGAGTGCTCTTAGGGATTACACATCAGGTGTTCCCAGCCCCTGAAGCTCAGAGAAACCACCTGAAAACCACCCCTCCACTCCCAGGCATTGCGGGGGGCGGAAATAGGGAACAATGAATTAACCGGAATCCTCCTAGGCTATTCCCCCTTCTCCTCTGAAGTTGCTTCTCTAATCTCGTCCCCAAGCTAAGATTTTCTATTTTTCTTCTTTCTTTCCCTTTCTCTGGCCCCAAGGAGTTGCTTTTTAAAACATCAACTTCATAGGAAAATGTAAGGGTCTCTGTGGAGTTTTGTTTCGTTTGTAGATGTAATTTTAAGAGTCCTTTTCGCACGAGGGAGGAAAGAGATGCCTGGTACCTTCTTCTGTGCTTCCCCACACTAATTTTCTCTGCACTGACTAGGTGTCTGGGACGTCTAGGGGAACGTTTGTCTTGCTCTGCGTTCCACCTGGGACTTGGAGCTTCGTTCCTGGGAGGCCAGCTGTGAACTCCAACCCCATCGCCCCTGAGCTCAGCTGTGAGCCCCGGCGCCTGCCCTGTCCTCCCAAGTTTTCCTCAGGTGGAGGCCCCATCGAGCCGCTGGCCTGGCCTGCACAGAGCGGTGAAGTGGGCAGGGCATTGTCCAGGTTTCCTGGCCTCTCCCCGGAGTCGCACGGCCTTCTGCCGACACGCGTTTCCTTTGTGCTATGCCTGGCTAATATATTAATGGGGCGGGCGGATAACCCGGATCCTTCGGGGAGAAGGGAGGAGGTGCCCTGAAAGGAGCCGCAGGGTTACCGTGGCCAACTCTGCGACCCAAGAGATGTTCCGAGGAGGTCTGGGGTGGAAGGGTGAGCGCCTGGGTCCAGGTGGGGCAAGTTCCCTTCGGGGCAATAAAAATAAATGGCCGCAACAAGTTTTTTGGTTTTTTTTTTTTTTTTTTACAAAAGGTGACCCCAGTGCCCTGGATGCGTGAGACATTTGCAGCCCGCACACTCCTGGGGCGAGTGTCTGCCAGG